TTTGCCACTCCCCTGAGTTTCTGCCTTACAGCCTAGATTTCCTCTGTATGAGCCTGGGTCCCCAGGGTCTCGCCCAGAACTGGGTTTCAGTGCAGTTGGAACTTGGGTTCAGCACAGTCTGGAGCTTTTATCTCCTTCCCACTAGAGAATGCCAGCTAGGCACTCAGCTGCCCTTTCCTCTCCAGCTCTGTCCTCTACCCACATGTGCACCATGTCTCCATACCTTAGGCTTTTACAGCTCCTCTGATTTTACTTCTGGTTTTCTCTTTCCTTCTAGTTGTAGAATTTCCAGTCAGTCAACTTTCCTGTAGTTCTGGATAATGTCCATTTTGTATTTTAGTTGTAGTTTTTGAAATTGTTGTGCGAGGCTGCAGTTAGGCATTTATCTATGCCCCCATCTTGGTTTCTCCTTTTTGCCCACTACATTTTTAAAATTTGTTTTTATTGACTTTAGAGAGAGTGGAAGGGAAAGGTAGAGATAAACCTCAATGAGAAGAGAAACACTGATTGGCTGCCTCCTGCAAGCCCCCTATGGGGGTTCTAGCCCAGGGTGGGAATGCCCACTACATTTCAATTACTTTTATTTTACTATGAAAAACAATAGCTGGCTATATATTAATACATTATAAATTTATAGTGTTATAACTTAAGAATTGAACATTCTACATAGAATGCTTTACTTTAGAAGCAAATGAAATAGATTTGAGTACTTTAAATATATTCAGATTATTCAAATAATAATGTGGCTTTCCAAACTACTGAAACTTTTCTAAACACTTAGGTTTAATGATTAAGAAGTGACAAAATGTGGGTTTCATCAAAATAATTAACGATGTAGAATGTTGTGGATCAAAGCTCTTTAAGGGAAAAAGAACTATTAGCTTTAATTGCTAAGAAAGTTATTTTGAATCCTGTCTAGCATGACAGGAAGTAGGCCAATTTTAAAAGCAGTGAACAAGAGGAAAGACTTACATTTGAAGTTTCTCAGTAATTTATTTGTTTGACTGGTAGGGTTGGTATGAATTGAATAAACCATTGTTTTCCGAGCCTTAGGGTATTTTCCAAGGGGGAGGGAAAACAAGCCCTAACTATTGAAGGAACCCACTTTTAAATCTACAGGCTCCAATTTAAATTCAAATGGCAAGGTTATCAAATCTCTTATCTAAAATTTGGCCCTTTTATCCTTTAAAAAAACTATAATTCTTAAAAAATATTTACTTATTGGTAATTAATAAACATAAACCTGATGTTGTTCCAGACACATTACTACATAAATACCACTAATAAAGTTATTCAATACTGTGTCTTCTTTTAAAATTCACCATAATAAGTTATAGCTATGATCTTAGTATGCCACATGAGAAACAAAAAATTTAATTATGAGCTGTTTTTATGATCTAGATCAGAGCTTTATATTAGCATTTCAGGTTGGATAATTCTTTGGGGTGGGGTGGGGTAGGGGTATTGACCTGTTCTTTTAATAATATATTTTACTGATTTTTTACAAAGAGGAAGGGAGAGAGATAGTTAGAAACACTGATGAGAGAGAAATATCAATCAGCCGCCTCCTGCACACTCCCGACTGGAGATGTGCCATCAACCAAGGTACGTGACCTTGACTGGAATTGAACCTGGGACCCTTGAGTCCGCAGGCTAATGCTCTATCCACTGAGCCAAACCGGTTTCAACTATTAACTTGTTCTTATAGGCTATTGAGCAGCATCTCTGGCTTCTACTTAGCAAAAGCCAGTAGCGACTCCCACAAGTTGTATCAAGCAAAAAGTCTCTAGACAAAACCAATGGGGAGATTGCCTCCAGTTGAGAACCACTGATCTAGACCAAGAGTCTTCAATTAAATTAGAAGACTCCAATTTAAATCTGGAAGCCTCAGCATCCTCACCGTTTATAACTTGTAAGGGATTTGCAGTATGTTAGTGAAAACACAGGGGTTGGTGTGATAATGCCTTCATCTGCACAGGAAGTGACATTAGCATCCCCTTCCTTTCTCGGCCTTGGTCACCCAGGTGTTCGTAAGGGTTTGGAGAAATGAAAAGTAGCTTCCTTTCACAAGAGGGTGAGGAACAGTAAGTCAGTAAGCAGTGCCCAATCTATTTGGCAGCTGATCTCACAATACCAAGATATATCCTCATTCCAGGGACATTGGTCTCTATAGGGCACACTTTCTACGTTGTAAACAAAAAATAGCAGAAACAAAGAATGTGGAGGAAACATGGTGATCAAGCAGGGATTCATTCAACAAGTATTACTGAAGATCTGCTATGCTATGTGGCAGGCTTAGGGGGTGCAGCAGTACAAAAGGCAAGAAAAAAATTATTGTGGATTAATAAAAAATATAATAGGTTGTAATGAATGAGAACAAAAAGTAAGGATGGGGAAATATGAAATGTCAAAGTAGGAGGTGTGGTTTAAATTTTACCAAGGGAGCTAGGGAAGGGACAAAAATGAGTGAGAATTTTTTTTCTAAATAATATACAGATTTTAGACAGAGAGAGAGGGAAAGAGGAAGAGAAAGGGAGAAACACTGATTTCTTGTTCCACTTATTTATGCATTCATAGGTTGATTCTTGTTTGTGCCCTGACCTGAGATCAAACCTACAACTTTGGCATATCAGGAGAAAGCTCCAAACAAATGAGCTATGAGGACCGGTCAAGAATATTTTTTTTAAACATTTTTTTTCCAACTTGTTAAACAACAATGAAGTACAGTTTATTGTTTCTTGGGAGAAAATATATTTTTTATGCCTTAATTGTAATGTACAACAAAGGTGAATCTTGACTGATAAGTATTAGATTCCTCCTATACAAATGTGAATTTGAGAAGGGAAAAGGAAAGAGTATTTTTTAAAAGAAGTATAAAGTACTTATTTAATTTATTGAGTACAGTCATGAACTATAAAAATGTTTCAGTCAATATACGACTGGTCCCTTTAAAAATTATAATGGGTCTTGCCAAAACCAGTTTGGCTCAGTGGATAGAGTGTCAGCCTGCGGATTCAAGGGTCCCAGGTCAGATTCCGGTCAAGGGCATGTATGTGCCTTGGTTCTGGACACATCCCCAGTGGGGGCTGTGCGGAAGGCAGCTGATCAATGTTTCTCTCTCATCAATGTTTCTAACTCTCTGTCCCTCTCCCTTCCTCCCTGTAAAAAAACAATAAAAGGTAATTTAAAAAAATTATAATGGGTCTGAAAAATTCCTATTGCCCACTGCCTGTAGCTGTCATAGGTGATACTGCTGTAAACAAACCTACTACTTGCTAGTCATAGAAGTACAGCATGTGCAATTATGTACAGTACATAGGACTTGATAATAAACAACTATGTTATTAGTTTATGTATTTACTATAATATACTTCTTATCATGTTAGAGTGTACTCTTCATACTTAAAAGTATGACTATATAGTAGTTATGTAACATATGTATGCATGAATGTATACATTCAAAATAGGAACTAAATATGTACTAAATATGTACTGAAGTAGCAATATATTGACTTTCATATAACTACAGACAGTAAAAGCAAGGTTAAACGTTGTCTCCCTAAAGAATATGATTATTTCAGCACACTGCTCAGGAAGGACACTTCTGTAATTTATCTCAGTGAACTATGAGAAACAATGAAGAAATGCAATAACACTTCCATAAAAAGGCTTTATAAATAATGACATTCTTGCTTTTGATCTGGGCAGTTACATAAAATTAAATTATATTCTTTTTTTTCATAGTCTTACCCTGTTTGATCTTTGTCAGCTCAGGTTTAATAAGCAAGATGGAATTTTGCACTTTGCAAATAAATGGCTTAATTAAATCATGATAAAAAATTGCTATGTTCGTATTCACATCAATGTTATAGGGATGCGTATGGCGAAAGGAAAAGGTTATAAACACATGAATTTAGACCATTCATTTGAATCACCAATTTTTTCACCTTGCTTTTAGCCGTAACTCATGCCACCACCAATACAGCTAGTAGTGAGTACAAAAGAAAAATATTTCATAACGTGGAAGACTCAATTTTAAATCCCTTTTAAAATTCTCTTTCAGAAATCTTTAAAACAGAAGAACTTTCAAGAATAACTTCAGCTCTTTTATAATGCATTCTTTATAAAACTTTTTTTCTTTCAAGAACAGGAAAGAGACCAAAGTAAATACAAAATAAACCAAATATAAATTGATTTTTCCAAAGTATAGTACTTCTACAAATGCCCAGTTTGTTTCTTGGCTGAATGTTGAGCATTCAGAAAAAAGAAAAACTTGTTAGGAAGAAACTACATATTAAACCATAATGGAGCTTAGCTTTACAATACATTTCAAAGGGCATTACTACCTTTCAAATTATAATTTCATGCTTCTCGAAGTTAATATCCAGTTAAAAATTTATTGTAAAAAGAAACGATTACTGAAAAAATTCACCATTATGGTTGTTTTACTACTTGTTGGCTACTCCTTTCTTAAACCATTTATTTTTATTTTCTATGGATGACTTTATTAAGGTTTTTCAAGCCCAAGTTCCTTAATATTGTAAAAGCACCTTCTTACTCAGTACGGTAAGCTGTTTTAGAATGATTTGTTTCACAGATCCTCTGACATTTAGCAAGTCACAAGAACTACTGACAGTACTTCTAAAAACACATTCCTTTGTCTCACATATATTACGCAAACAGTAAGATAGGCCCTGTGCTAAGTCAGGCATAATGCATGAACAGGCCTCAGTCCCCTTAAGGGGACACGTAAACGATTTCTGAAACATGAAAAGAACTGGGACAGAGAAATGTATGAGGTGTTTTAGGAGCAGAGGAAATACCCAACTCTGTCCAAGAAGGTTCACTGACTGACTTTTCTCCTGAAAACAATAAATGCACTCAATTCCCCCCATTTTTTAGCTTAAAACTCTTCCTTAGTGGTCACCATTCTTTTGGGTTGCCTTCACTGATAAAAAAAAAGTACCCAACCTATTCCAAGAACCACCCCATCAACGTACCTTGTGGCTTTGGACTTGCAGCTGAGTGTTTTGCTGGCGTTTTTCCATTTATTCCCTGAGCCTCTTCATCAGATACATTCTGATCAATCAGTGCGGTTGTGCTGCTCTTCAAAAAAGGTGGAACGATAGTGATCTTTGGACAGGTGCTGCTGCCTGCGGGAGTTCAAAAAGAAAGGGCAGGTAAATGCAGAGGCAGAGCACAACCATGTCTCATGACTTAAATTTCTTCCCTTAGGAGACTAAGCACAGAAATGCTTTTCCCATATGTGCTGACCTTGACAAAAGAGTCTTCCTGGGAAAGATCTCATTCCATGTGCTTAGGAAGCCTTATAATGCACATGGACAGACTGTTGCGCACAAGTACACACGCATTCATTCTCTCTCTCTCTCTCTCTCTCTCTCTCTCTCTCTCTCTCTCGCTCTCTCGCTCTCTCGCTCTCGCTCTCTCGCTCTCTCACTTTTTCAACTCCTTTCCTTGCAGGGCTACAAAAAGGGCACATCGATGCAGATAAAGCCAGCTAAGGAGAGGACTGGAGGGCCCCAACTAACTTGTTAAAAGCATTCCTTTCAAGAATCCAGCCTGTGAGCAACTCGAAAAAGCAATGCAGGAAAGCACCAATCTGACAGCTCCCTAAAGACTGAGAACGAGGAAAATGGCTCCATTAGAAATAAACAAATACACTCACTCACTAGCTTACTCAACTCCACATTAGCATATACAAGCTAATAGCCTTGCCTCTCCCAAAGAATGATTAAATTATATGGATAACTCTGTCCTGCTTTTACATTTCAAACCCCCAAATATGCTTTAAAACACTGAAATACATCATGAGAGATAGAGGAAAAAAATGCATATTTTTTTTGTATGATTTCTAACATAGAGGTTAAACGATGAACTTCAGAGACTTTATAAGAAATCATATACCAGTGTCTTCTCTTTACACTCATATTAAATTTCCTTTTCTTGTGCTTATATGCATGCATAGAAGTCCTATAATTGATCTCTTTCCCCTACTCCTTAGCACACCCCAGCCTTTCTGCTGTAATTTGACAGTCTTTCAGTGCTTTTTTGCCTCTAAATCTATCTTTTTGTTCATCAGGTTATAATGTTCTTTATTTTCCATAAATGAATGAGATCATGTGGTATTTTTCTTTCATTGCCTGGCTTATTTCACTTAGCATAATGCTCTCCAGGTCCATCCATGCTGCTGCAAATGTAGGAATTCCTTCTTTTTTATAACAGTGTAGTATTCCATTGTACAGACATACCATAGTTTTCTAATCCACTCATCTGCTGATGGGCATTTAGGCTATTTCCAAATCTTTGCTATGGTGAATTGTGCTGCTATGAACATAAGGGTGCATATATCCTTTCTCATTGGTGTTTCTAGTTTCTTGGGATACAAAATTAACGCCAAGAAATCTATGGCATTTCTATACACCAATAGTGAACTTAGAGAAAGAGAGACTAAAAAAGTAATCCAATTTACCATTGCGCACACACACACAAAAAAGATACCTAGGAATAAACTTATAACTAAGGAAGTAAAAGACTTATATGCAGAAAATTACAGAACATTGAAAAAAGAGATAGAGGAAGATATAAACAGATGGAAGAACATACCATGTTCATGGATTGGTAGAATCAACATCATTAAAATGTCCAATGCACTCCCCATTAAAATACCAACAGCATATTTTACAGACCTAGAAAGAACTCTCCAAAAATTCATTTGGAATAAAAAAAAGACCCCGAATAGCCACAGCAATCCTGAGAAAGAAGAACAAAGCTGGTGGGATCTCAATACCAGATTTCAAGCTGTATTACAAAGCCACTGTTCTCAACACAGCCTGGTACTGGCACAATAACAGACATACAGACCAATGGAATAGAATAGAGAACCCATATATCGACCCAAACCACTATGCTCAATTAATATTTGACAAAGGAGGCATGAACATTATAATAGAGTTAAAAGGCCTTTCTTGAATGTAAGATGTAGAAAAAATTATTTCACAGCATATTACTAAAATTGTAAAGAGAAGAAATAAAAGCTCAAATCTTTAAATGTGTGACCTTAAAAAACTGTGAAGTAGGCCAAATATATCCCTAAAAAATGCAGCTAATCGTCCAAATGGTTAGTTTGTCTTTTAGGGGCATGAGGACTTTCATTCTGTGGTGATCCCAAGAATGTGTTGGCAATCCTACAGGCCACCTGCTGAGGTCTAGTGAAGGACAGCCAAGGTTGTGGGTTTGATCCCTAGTCAAGGTACTTACAGGAATCAACCAAAGAATGTATGAATAAGTAAACAGAAAAAATTTCTCTCCTCCTCTGTTTCTCTCCCTCTCCAAAATAAATAAATAAATAAATAAATAATAATAATCAATTAAATTAAAAAATAGAAAATATGGTAAAAGAAAACACTTTTAAAAAATCTTTAGACTTTAGTTTAATTTTAAGAGATCATATTCATTTTCTTCTGTAATAGATTTAAAAGATTATCCATCTATACCCATCTGGTCAGATTTATTTATTCTTTAGCAATCGAAGCATTAAACAATGACAGTTTTTATTCTCAATCTTTAATAACATTATATTCATTATACTTGAGATTGCTTTGCTTTCCTATGAAAACAAAAACAAAATCAGCCAAACATAAAACATATCCATCTATTAGTTCTGCAGCACAATTTTAATAAAAATATTTCCTCCTATTTGGACAATTTATATGATGTGGGCAGAGGAATATTAAGAGTGATTATAAAGTGTCCAGTCCTATAAGTGAAGAGCTATGTTCTTTGATCCATTCCTCAATCCACTTTGATATCTGATTGATATTACCCTCTAGATTTGGTTTATTGCTAGGCAGCTGATGCATTATTTCTTTCTTGTAGGATGCCAATGCTTCTTCATACAGAATTTGAAAAATTTCACATTGACTGTTTCCTTTTTTTCTTCTCACTAAATCCCTTATGTCAAGTCTTTCGCACAATACACTGTTATTTGTTTCCTGCACAAAAACTATATGAAACCAGCATTCAGGAAGAATTCACAACTGTTAATAGTAATTCCACCTTTACTCATTTGGTTTTCTAACTCATCAACTACTCTATCTTCATCTAAAATGGGACAATCCTACTCTTCCTCACAGCCATCATATAACTGCCCTTCTTGAGGTAATAAATCGCCTACACTAATGTATTTCAGTCCTGAAGTTGATGCAAATTCTTTGCCTAATGTGGTTTCTCCAACTCCTGGAAGCAACATGGCCCTCAACATGATGGCTCTAGAAAACACATGCTTAAATGGTTGGGTTTATTTTTAAAAATAGTGACAAATATGCAACAGAAACCATATATCACTGTGAAGCCAAACATGTTTATCATCTGGCCTTTTACAAGAAAGTTAGCTGACCACTGTTTTAGGTAAAGCGCATAAGGTAAAGGAAGTTTACCTAAAGACAGCACAATTTCATGCAACACTTCATCTTCTAACATCTTGGATATTAGCAATAAAAAGTTAAATTTCTCTTTGCTTGTTTATGACTGACTCAGCCTACTCACATTTGGAGACAATCCTCTTTTTGGATGCCAGTTGCATAACAGAGTTGAAACCCAAATTGTAACCAGATGGTCCACCCATTCAAGACAATTCATATTAACTAAAGAGGCTCTTGGGTCCCAATTTCCCAAGAAGAACCAGAAGGAGTGATTAAATTGTTATCTTGGACACAGCTATAACTAGTCACATTCTATTAGTATGGGGGTGGGGTTGTCCTATTTAAATACTGTTTTCTCTTGATGACTGGTAATCTTCTTTAGCCACTGGCCCTAAGCATTTCGAATTGCTCTGTCTCCAGGTTACTCACTTAAGCTTTCTGGGTCTTTTCTCCTATAAGAAATGTCCAGACCTATGCTATCTGCAGCGGCTCCTCAGAATATCAATTAATCCAGCCTCATGTTTTCCAACCCAAGAGTTTGCCCCTATGGCTTACCTTTAATTGACCTGACTTCTTTTGCAGGACACCTGTGAGCGGCAGATAATGCCTCTGATGGTTTAGGGTACGTAACTTTGTCTCCTCTTTGCAAAACATTGGATTGGGCTGTTTGTTTTGCCACACCATTCTTGAATAGCTCTTTCACATTTTTAAGGTTGGGCTTACTTTTTGGCCCTCCATTCAAAGTAAAGTCCACTCAGTTCTTGGATTCTTCAGGCCTAAATCTCTTGCCATGTTATCCAAGACTTCAGATCACATCTTTATGGTCCTGTTATGGCCAAGTCTGTCCTGCCTCATCCACTCATAACATCTCTCGCAACTGTACCACGTCTCTAGCTCAGAAGATTACAATGGACCCCACCCCTCAGGACAAGAGGATTGCTTGGATTTAAGAGAACAAAAGTGACTTTCTGAGGGAGGCAATCTTTTTAGGAGAACAGAAGTAAAAGAAATACCTTAAAAAATAAAACTTTATTTTGAAATAATATTAGATTTACAGGAGAGTTGCACCCAGGTTCCTAAGCACCTTACAAAACCATGGTGTGTGTGTGTGTGTGTGTGTGTGTGTGTGTGTGTGTTAACACCAAGAATTTAATATTGGTATAATAAAAATCGAACCTGGTTGCAGGCACATCCCCAGTAGGGAGTGTCCAGGAGGCAGCTGATTGATGTTTCTCTTTCATCGATGTTTCTAACTCTATCCCTCTCCCTTCCTCTCTGTAAAAAATCAATAAAATATATATATTTAAAAACAACTAGAAATATTTGACTTTTCTGAAATAGAAAACATGTCCCTAATTAATTACTGAGTGATTTATTTATTTATTTTTTGCTACCCTGCAGGGATGAAAAGAATAACAAAATTCCTATAGAATGCTATTGTTGGTGGTCCCTTACAGTTAAAATTCTGCTAGATGAACTGCATTGAAACCCCTTTCATTAAGCCTGTCAAATTTCTAGTTTGAAGTTGGTGCTCACAGATGAGGTCCATGGCCACAGAGCCTGCTATGGAGGAAACTGCAAATATTACAATCTGAATGTGGGTTTAGGGGTCCGAGTCCCTGCTCCTCACTTGCAGAGTGACCATCTGTTAGCTACCATGAATTCCTGCAAAGGAAGCATGGAGAGTGCACAGTGCACGATGAGGCCGGACT